ACCCTGAGATCATGACCTGAGCCAAAATCGAGTTGGATGCTCAACTGACTGAGCCACCAAGCGCCCCACACCAACTCCTCTTATAGACTATGTCAGCACTTGAGAATCTTCACAGAATGTGCTGGCTCAAAGAGAATGGGTCTAGGGTCAGCAAACAAGAAGAGATGCGAGACTATTCTACCCCTGGCGATTCATAAAACTTGACCGCGATTTGCTCATCTCTCCCTTTCTCTCGGGTTTATCAGCTGTATTATTTCCAAGCAGTTTATAAGTTGGAGGCATGTTGCAAGCAGCTGCTAACAACCCATTAGGGTTGAGCCAGACAGCCACGTCTCACAGCCTGGGACACCATCCCCCTCCCAAGCCGAGGCTGAGGGCCACAAGCGCTCGTACCCTCTTTGGCCTCTGGGACCTCAGGGTGGCCATCTACGGAGCTTCCGTATTCCGAGGCTGACAGGTACTTCTCCGTTGTATCTAGCTGTGGAAAAGAGGGAGACAAGTGGGTGATCTTGTCTGGGAATGGTTACCTCAGAGATCACAATAAAGGAAACTAAGAGACAGCTTTCGGATGTAGGCTAGGGGTCACCGCAGAGTCCGGGTCACTGATGGCACATCGGCCAGGCTTCCCTCGGGCTCTCTGGGGGACCTGCCTTCACCTTCCCTTTCCCTGCCCCATCCCGGAGATGACCCTCTTCTTTGGGCCTTAGATTGACATCCCAGCTGAAGCTCACCGTGAGGCTGGGAACCACCTGAGCATGAGGAAGGCTTTTAAGAACTGACAGCATCATGAACACATCAGGCTTCAGAGGAAGGCCAGCTTGTCTACACAGGGTCAGACCATGATTTGAGCCCTGGCTGGAGCACCCTCCATCCAGACCAGGTGCCCCACTTATAACGCTCTCTGGGCCCTGCTGTGCATGTGTTTAAATACGGATAATATCCCTGTCTACATCCCCAGGGCTGTTAGGGGACTTGTGAGTTTCTAGAAGGGTATGGTGGCTGTTGTTAGAATGTGAAGCACTCAGAACATTCCAACCAAGCTTCTCTCAAAGAACAACTCTGTCCAGACCTCTGAGAAACACGCTGAGGGACTCCCAACCCACGGGACGGGGCTTAGGCGGGGGCTTGAGGACTGCTATACCTCGCCAGGGAACTCCATGAGGGATGACCTGTGACTTCCCGAAGAAGGGAGCACCTCCTCCCCACCTGAGACATCTACGTACCCTCTGCCTTCTTCCCTGCCGGGGCCTGGGAGCCCAGGGTGAGGCACAGTGACACTCTGCTCTGTGCACTCCCAGGCTCCAGGGCGCCTGTTTATAGATACTTGGGACCTGGCATGCGAAGCCAGAGGGGTCAGCCCTCCCCTCTGCCAGCACCGCCCCAGGGCTCCATGGAAATGAGCAACAGAACCCTTTGGTTGGAATCAACATGGGGACAGTCTCCCAGCCCCGAAGCTTTACCAGGAGTAAATGCGAAAGAAGAGCCTCATAGCATGAATTTCCCTGCTTAAGAATGGAGGGCACGCGGACCTTGGTTCCAATAAAGCGTCCTGCACCCAAGCAAGAGAATATCAACGTCATCAGTTTTTCTGCCAACCTGAAGCTACTGGCCCTTATCCATGCACTGTACGTTTCTTACTCACTGGGCTGAAGTGCAAAAGCAAAGATCTCAGTCTCATACTTCTAACTTCTACAGAGAAGATAAGAGAATTGCACTCTCTTCCAGGCAGGACAAAGGCTTACTTTCTGACAGTTCAGGCGCTGGGCATCTGGGCTGTACTGATTTCCCTCGGACGCTCCTTCTGAAGGCAGGCCACTCACCTCCTGGATGACCTGAAGGGAGAGAGAAGCCATACGCGCAGGCCCTTCAGGCCTGGACTCGCGGCCAGACCGCAGCGGAGCCCCTCGCGGTCAGGGGAAGTGGATGGCGGTGAGAGAGAGGGGGATGCATGCTTTCCAAGGAACAGCGACTCTCCCTCCCACCACCAGCACCTGGCCTGGGACTGGGTAGGCTGCAGGGGGGGGAGGCTTGTCCCTTCGGCCCCCTCTCCTGCAGACCCCCACGTGTTCTGGTGGTGAGCGGGGCGGGGGGGCTGCTTTACAGCAAAGCCGAAAGACGGCCAAAGCTGCAGCCCTCAGCTCTGCGAGGCCCCTCCTTGCCCTCATCCGGGGCAGGGATGGCCGTTCAGCTGTGGGTATGATGAAGAACTGCATCAGCTAAGGTCCCCCCCACCGCCCCCGGCTTTTCGGGGGCCATGGAGCTTGCTGTGGAGAGCCTCCCACTGCTCGGGAAACAGGCCTGCCAACTGCCCGGGGCCAAGACTGGCTCTCCAGACTTGCCTGTCCCGGTCCACCCCACCCTCCTCCAGAAGGAGCCTTTTCACTGGCACCCAGGTCAGAGGAAGCTCTGGCCACACTAGGCAGAGGGTAACAACCCCGGGCAGATAGACAGACAGACACACACACACACACACACACACACACACACACACACACACAGCCCATCCAGAGCCCTTTGGACTCAGCAAGAGTACTTTCAAAGACCCTCCTTTTTCAGTCTCTGCTTAGAGCAGTTTATGGAAACAAGGTCAAACGTAGAAAAGCCAAAGAAGCAAAGGAAGACTGGCTATGGGGATGGGGAAACATACAACTTCTTAGATGGACTCCAGGTCGGGACCTCGGTCCACGTGGTGGACCAAACACGCAACACGGCGCTGTGGGAAGTCTGTCCACTAGCTGCGTGACCCCGTCACCACACCTGTAGGATGGGGCACAGCTGTGCGCCGGGGGGGCTGTGAGGACTCATGTGTAAAGGTACCATCCTCATGAGCTGGGGCCTAGATACGCGGACACCCTAGGTGGGGGAAGCACGCAAAGCCTGGAATCCAGGCTTGAGGTCTTCTCTGGGACAGTCCCGCCCGTGCTTTCCTTTTCTGGGGTCCTTGTCCCATACTGAGCATTTCCCACCCATGGCCATCCACCTGTCCCACCCTGTAGAGCTGGGGCACGGAGGCCAGGGAAGGGAGGTAGGTTTAACGAAACAGATACGTGTAGATGGTGAGAGCCCACCACACAGGCTCACCAGTCCTACTGAACCGCAAGAGTGTGCAGCTTCTCGGAGTCAGACCCTGACAGCCAGGCCCGCCCCTGTGCTCATCCGAGCAGAGAGGAAGAGGACTCTGTGTGGGCCGGCGGAGGCTGGGCCTCCTGAGAGCATTCTTGTCCTCGAAACCAGCAGCAGGGGTCTCAGGATGAGGGCATGTGAGTCGGAGAGGGAGACTGGGGGTCAGAGGAAGGACAGGTGGGTCTGAGCAGTCAGAGGAACAGGCTGGGAACAGGGAACTGGGAGCAGGAGCATCGTGTGTGTGTGTGTGTGTGTGCACGAGCGCGCACGTGCAAGTGTCTGTGTGTACATGCAAGTATTTGTACGTGTGTGCGTACAGATGCCTGCAGGTGTTTGTGTGTCTGTCTGCAAGTGTGTGTGCAGGTGGGTGCACGCAGGTACATGTGTGTGTGTACGCACAGGCAGATGGGGAGAGAGGGCAGATCCAGGGCTGTGATGGAGGAGGGGGCAGCAGGAACCAAGGAAGGACGGGACCTCTCTGGCTCTGTCCGGCCTCACCAGGGGCCCTGCTGGCTTTGGAGCTCCCTCGGCGGCCAGGGGCCCCTTCTTGGTGCAAACCTTCTACCTTCTGGTCAAGCTTTTCTTTAACACGGGGCACACCAGGCTTCGTCATCCCTGGGGCTGGGCCACGTTCCTGCGGGCAGACCTGACCATCCGCATGTGTGATGGTAGGACAACAGGACTGCGGCCAGACAGTCGTGGGTTTGAAACCCGATGCTGCCACTCCCTCGCCAGGTGACCTTGATCTGTCACCTCCTCCGTCTGAGCTCTAATCAGCAGCCCTACGAAATGGTGATATTAACATTGTGCAGCTCCGCCCGGTGTGGTCAGGTGGCTTGTTTGCTCCAAGCGCACGGCCCTTGGTAAGTGCTTTCCCAGCGACCCTGCCGTCTAGCGTCTTTAATAAGGAGGCTGGCGATGCTTCTCCAGCAACCAAAGGGCAAATGAGTCTCAGCTAGAGCCCAAGTCCAGGCATAGCGCCGGGTGCTGTGATCCTCTCGTGAGGACTGACTGCTACCACTTAGAACACAGGAGCCCGGAGAAGGTGAAGGACTAGAGATCCTTTACCCCTGACAACAGTCCTCCCTTTTAGAAAAAGCCAGGGCGTCGGAACTGAGGCGCCCCTGGGAGCCCTGCAGGGGAGCAGGCATGTGTCCCTGGCAGCCCGGCGCCGCCCTCACCCTGAGCCACTGCTCCGCTTGGTCCCTGCTCTGCAGGCCTAGCACGATCACGTCAGCGTTCATTGGCGTGATCTTCAGCTTGTGCTCCTTCTTCCGCACTTGCTTCTCCTTGTGGATGACACTGCTGCCCAGCAAGTTCACGTCCAGCTGCGGGCTGTGGTCCTTGGAGGATTTGTAGCACTAGAAGGGAAGAGAAACGCTGTGCCGCTCTGCCAGGGCCACCGGGCCTGGCCGGGGTCTGCAGAGACGGGTCAGCGGCACAGCAGGACCCCCCGAGACCCCCCTGTGCGTGTTTCTCGCTTACCACCCTCCGGAAGGGGTGCGGAGGGAACGAAGGCCAAGCTCATTAGCTGCTTAGTTAGGAAGATGAATTGCAGCAAAAAAAAGAAGGGGACCTGCTTCCCCTCCCAGACAAAATACTTGGCCCCTGTTTGTCACGGGTCTAAAGGGGGCCCCCACAGGGCTGCGGAACAGGATTCCCAGAAAGAATATCTGCGCAGAGCAGGGCGCGATGTGACCTGGGAAGAAAGCGTGCTCATAATGATTCCAAGGAACTTCAAGTTAGAACATAAAACTGAATTGTAATTTAGAATAACAGGAAATAGGGCTGTGGTCAGAGTAATATCTTCCGTTTCCTTTATGGGTTTTGTCTTCTAATCAGTGATCCAGAATACCGTGACTTCTGAGACAATGCCTCGGATTCCAACACTGCAACAGGTGAATGCAGCGGCCAGAACCGGGGCCGGGGGTGTCCTGACCGGGCAGCAGGCTCTGCCCCAAATGGCCAGAGGTTGGCATGTGAAGAAGAATGAGCCCTCCGACCAGGGGGCAAGATCCCCGGAAACCGCGTCTATGTGGCCGGACTGGGGGCCGGGGGTAGTGATCCCAGCCCCCTTGCAGAGTCCTGTGAAAACCATTAGATTTTCTTAGTGAAGGAGCACATTCACCCCTGCACAAGACATCCTGCACACGATTTCAGGTTAGGGAGGAGAGAAAGCCTCCAGAGAGAAAAGGCTCCAACCGCCTGGTATCAGGGTCCATCTCCCCGACTCCCCCCCGGCCCCAAGAAAGAGAAGACGGGAACACCACAGGAGCCCAACTGACCAGGAGCCTGGTGTCCTTGATGACGCAGAGCTGCTTGGCCCACTGCCCCAGCCACTTCTTACGCCACAGGAAGGCACAGATGCGGGCGTCACGCATCAGCTCGATGCTGGCCTCAGGCGAGGGCCACTGGTATGGCGCCGACTTGCCCTTGCTGTTTTCCTCTTCATCGTAGGACTCGTAGGAGCTGCTCACAGCCTCTCCGTCCTCTGCAAGGAAGACCCACGCAGTCAGGGCCCCGCTGGGTGGGGGAACCTTGGTCCAGGAGGAAGGGCAGCCAGGGGCCTCCAGGCCACAATCCACCCCCCCCTCGGCTCTCTGTGCCCTTGAACCACCCTGACAGACACCAGCCACAGACCTGGGCAGGGCAGGCCCGGCCCCCAAGCCCCCTCAGTGAAGCTTCTTGGATGTCCTTCCTGGCCACAGACACAAATCACCCAAACCAGGAGTCTCTCCCTTTTCCTGCTCAAATCTGTCATCCCAGGCTCCAGAGAAACCTCTGACAAGACACTGCCCACAGGTGACCGTCCCGCCTGGGGGCCTCCGTATCCTCACCTGAGGGATTTAGCAGTGGCGGGAGCCTGGCACCCGGGCATTCTAAGGGGCCAGCGGAAGGGCCGCCATGCGAGCCCGAGCTGGGCACGTGGCAGGCCCCCGACGGTGGGGCCGCCTCTGTCCCTGGTTTTGTCCCCAAAGGAGGGGCTGCAGTTTCTTAGGGTGGGATAAACCACAGCAGGAAATGGCTCTGAGGGGAAGGCGGCTATCCGCCTTGGTCACAGTCCTTTCCCCAACCCACTCCAGCCTCCCCAGACTCCACTCGCTCTCCCTCCCCCTGCACACCTCCCAACACCGACAGCCCCTTGTGCTGGTTTCCGCCTCCGATGCTTCCTCCACCTCTGGCGACCAGCCAACCCCATGCATTTGTTCTGTTCAAGAGGATCCCAAAGCTCACCAAGCACAAACCGTGTTCAGTTCTGTGCACACTCCCCGTGCCTCAGTTTCTGTTCCCTGCCGCCCCCCGCCACCGTACCCTGTGAGAGTCGCTCTGTTCTCCAGGCCCCATTCTGCTATTCAAGCCCAAGCAAAACTAGGTGAAGAAAAAAGTAAATCACTAAAACCCCAAAAAGCAGAACATGGAGAAAAGAGAACCTCAGGACCTCTGGTCCAACCCCCCTGGCTCAACACAGGAATCCTGTCTGTGGGAACCTTGCTGCTGCTTCAGCCTCCGCTTGAATTCCCTCTGGATGGGGAGCTCACTACCTCCTGGCCACTGGCTACTTCCTTCTATGACTGGGAAGTCAGGCCACCATCTACTTCCCTGTAACTTCTACAGACTCGTTCTGTCGTCCTCTGGAACCAGGGTGAATGTATCTCCTCTAACATCCCCTCCGATCCCCTTCAGAAAAAAGTCAGCCCATGGGCCCTTAGCCTTCCCTTCTGCGGAAGCCCCTTCTACTCGGTGCACTAGGACGACAGACCACATTTGACTTAGAATACGGAACAGCAGAACAAGGCCACTGCCACGGTTATCCAGCGACAGGGCCAATGAAAATGTGTTTTACTCTGTCTAACAACCAGCTTTCTCTAACAGCAGTGTGGTACTGCTCCCCTTCTCAGCTTAACAGAAAAGTTGTGCAAGCTCCTAATCTCACACCCACAAAATAAGCAAAGATGGGGAGGAGGGGCGTAGCCAATGGGAGATCCAAACTCTCCCGTTGCTGGTAGCAACGGAAATGCACACACGCCTCTCAGAAAACACTCTGGCAGCCTGTTGGTGCCAGAGCCTTAGAAACACCCAAACCCTTTGACCCAATTACCCCAGTCCTGGGAGTGGATCCTAGGAAACCAGAGAAGGGAGGGGGGAGGTTACACGTGTCAAGATATTCATTCCAGAGCCATTTACAGTCAGCGGCAGGAGAGCGGGAAAAGTGTGATGCACCCGCTTCGGAGCAGGCCGCGCAACCACCATCCCTGGGACCTCTGAACACTAGTCTGTAGCTCAAAAAATACGATGGTAAGTGAGGAGGCACAATTAAAATTCCACGTGCGGAAGGACTGGTGCCGAGAGGCAACAGGACCAACTCAAGAGAGCTGATCTGATCCGGTGAGAGGAGCAGGGGGATTTTATTAAAAAACGAAAGTCCTCCCTGTCAGTATGGTATAGTCTATACAATAAGGGAAATAAGAAGAACGATGCAGTGGCATTGGGATGCCTCCTTCTGCAACAAAAATTAATAGAGGGAGGTCACAGAGTTTAGCAGGAAGAAGTTGGCCAAATCCCCCCACTGTCTGTGCTTCTGGGGTTGGTCCGTGGAGAATTCTAACACCTGCCCATCCACCTCCAGGGGGCTGTGGGGAAGCCGAGAAGAACCAGCAAGTCACTGTACCTCAGACTACCTGGAGTAGCTTAGGGGAAGCTTGGGCGAATGTATTGTCATTTTATCATTTATCTCTAAGAGCGATCATAGCAGGGCCATGAATGTAGGACAGACACGTGGCTTCCAGGGGTGACAGGATGAAGAGGAGTGAAAGGCAGGAGGCTCAGGTAATTCCATCCCCTTTCTTGCGTCCCTGGGCGGACCGCCCCCCACCGTGTGCTGCTGGAGGTCTTTGGGAACACAGGGCAGAACCACCGTGCAGCGCCCTGGTTCTTTGCCCGTGCATTCGGATGCCGCTGGAGGGGTCTGTGGAAGGCAGAGTGAGTCTCCCCTTCTGGAAGGGTGATACACGGCGTGCACATGCAGGACCCATGCACAAGGCGGGGAAGAGGTCAGAGGCCGCCCTCGGGGCATGCATCCGAGCTCTGAGAGCCCAGCAGCAGGCACAGAATCACCGGCATTCCAGCTCTGGGGACAAGCAGTACCCAAGGTGATCGTGGCGTAAATGACTCCTTCAGGCACCTGCACCCATCTGGGGACTCCAGTGGGGGAAAATCCGCCAGAATGACCTGTGTGAGATCCAGAAGCACAGAGAAAGGCGAGATGGAGAGAGACAAGATGAAGAGAGGGACAGACCCAAGTGCAGAGAGAGACACACAGCGACCCAGATGTGGCCACATGGCTGCCTGTCCACCGGAAGCATGGGCTTCTCAGGACAGGCCCCAGCCCCATCAAGGACATCTTTTCCCAGCCCCTTCCCCTCCAGAGACGACCATGTAACTACTCGTCGCCAACACAATGTGGGTAAAAGTCACTTCAGGCTGGTACTTTTAAGAAGCACGCAGGGGTTCTCTGCTCACTCTCTGCAGAGGATTCTGTGGCCTTACAGGGTGGCCGAGCCCACACTGGAAGGAGCCTAAACTCCCTACTGGACCAGTAATACCCACGCTGTTCGTGAGACAGAGATTCGTGTTGTGTCGCTATACACTGCAAGGGGGGTTATTTGTTCCAGGAGCTGCCACGACCCCAGCGCGAGACCTCATGGCCGAGTAGCTGACCTCTCGTGCAAGCAGGACCAGCCCTCCCATCTGCACAGGCCACCAGGGCGCTGATTAAACTCTCACTCGGAGAGAGGGGCCTGACCCTTGAGAGCAGTGCGGGGACAGCGCTGAGAAAGCAGGACAAGCACCCAGGCGACTGGTCTCCTGTGGGAAGTCTACAAATCGCTGGTGGCCGACGGCCATTCCGCCTGCCATGACCTGTCCGTCTCCCTGCTCAAACAGCCCTGGGGGCGTCAAGCAGGAACTAGGGGCAGCCAGCTGGTAACGCGGGTGAAGCCCTGCCTTGGTGGCACGTGCGACCAAGTCTCGGGTCGTCCTCGGTCCTTGTCCTGGCAGGAGATGAAAGGCAGCCGACGGCTTCCTACCCACCTTGCCGGCTGCAGTCTGTCCTCACAGTGGCGCCCCAGGCCTGGCTAAAACCAACATGAATTCACGGCCGAGACAAACACTGAGAAGCTCGAGCCCACTTGTTCACGACGAGATGAAGCGCCTGCCCCAAAAACAGGCCCCCGGGAGCGTCTGGGATGCAGGCCCAGGCTGGCATGGGCCACACCCGGGAGAGCAGGGTCTAAGACGCACGGAGGTACCCGCCGTGGTGACTCACAGCCTCCACCTTCCAGACGCTTCCAGACGCATCCAGACAGCAGCGCCGCACCCTCGGCTTTGGTCTGCAATCACGGCCCCGCCGGTGACTCGGCAACATCCCACACGCTCAGCGGGTTCAAGCCCACAAAGCCAGCCTCTCAGAAAAAAATAACCTCAACCCAAACAGGCCCTCACCTCCCACACAGTTCCTGCGACCGGAGGCAGTAGGTAAAGTGTGAAGAAAGAGAAGGATCCGACGTGGCTCCAAGGGACTGGTCCCCTGTGATCTCTGGTCCTGCTCTTTACAGAGCAGGCAACACCCTCTTCAGCCAAGTTCATTCCTACCACCGAGGCCCCCTGCCTCTTACATCTGCAATCTGCTTTATGCTTTCAAAGACCTTTCACTTAGCAAGGAAGGAAGCTGATGGAGGTGAGGAGGGCAGAGTGAGAGGATCAGAGTCCAGCTGCCTGGGGGCAAAGGCCACAACACTCTCTTTCTTCCAGAATTTGTGGGGCCTTTCTGCGCTATCGAATCCCTACCCAAGAGCCTTTCTGATCTGACTAGCCCAGGCTGAGCACCACTGGCCGAGGACAGAGGGGTCCAGCGTGAGCCCTGCCCCTGTAGCACCGAATGCCAAAGTTGGGTCAGTCACTAAGTAACCCCCCAATGGCTTACAGTCTTGTCAGAGAGAAGCCAAAGTCCTTCTTGTGGCCTGTGGCTGACTCCTTTGTCCCCACCTCTTGTCTCTCTCCTCGCTCCAGCCCCGCTGGCCTCCTCGCTGCTCCCAAAGCACGCCGAGCACCCTCCTGCTTCAGGAGCTCTGCATGTGCTGTGCAGTCTAGAACGTTCTTCCTGCAGGTCTCTGCCCTCCCCCACTGCCCACTTCATTCAGGAATCAGCTCAAGGTCATGCTAGCAGAGAGCCCCTCCCTACCTAAAATAACACCCTCTCCCACCCCAACCCAGCCCCTGTGTTTTCGTTCCCAACACTGTCTCATCCCCTGACATGACCTAGGTTTATTCGTTTTCTGTCTTTCCTCACAGAGTCTAAGGGCTGCGACTCTGGACTCTCTCGAGCTCTGCTGAGTTCCTGACTCCTAGAAGCATGCTTGGCATACAGCGTGAGCACAGTTAACTATGAGTCCAATGAAAGCCACCCTGGAAAGGGCTCTGGCTCAGCCTGACCACATTCCCCTTGCTTCCAAGTGCCCCTGGGCCAACACACCTCTCCTCCAACACATTTCTGTGCTGAATCCAGCACCATCCGGGTGGGAAGACCGAAAGCCTCAGACACAGTAAAGCAGCTCACCGTGGACCATCCCAAGCCCCTCCTTACAGGCAGCCTGGGTCTGCGGTACGGCTCAGCTCCCCACCAGAGCAGAGGCCCAGGGCTCTGTGGCCAGTTCTCGATTCAGGCCACGCTCTCTGGAAACGGCAGCCCAGGCCACCCTCTGCGTCCAGCACTGGCTTCTGTGCAGGCAGCGGTGGTCCCCATCTGAGCCCCAGCCCTGGCCCCGGATGTACCATTGAGGGATGTGTCGTACGGCTCAGCCTCTTCATAGTAACCCTCTGGAGACTCGATCTTTGGGATGGAGAGCTGTTTCCGTTCTGGAATCTGTGGTATGAACAAACAAACATTTTCAGTTGGATTCACTGGGAACGACTTGGAATTAACCCTTTGGGTGGAAGGAGGGGAGCCTCGAAGAAAAAAAAAAAATGCCAAGCTGGACTTCCAGCCGGCCGGGAGGGAGACCATGGAATGCCACAGCTCCCACTGGCCGCCACGTCCATTGGTTTGCTTCCAGTGGAGGGCCATGGGTGTGCTGCTTAACCTCGCCAAGTCTCAGCGTTCTCATCTGCAAGATGAGGTTCAAACCCCCACCACACACACAAAATCGCATTGTGTACATGACGTGGAATGCACCGAAAGGTCCAGATGGTCAGGCTGTAATGGCTTCTAAACAGCATGTACTTTCTAAAATGACAAGGGGTAGTGAAATGCACATGGAGGGAGATGACCAGGGTTCTAAATCCTAAATTTTTAGCATAGTAAGTTCAATCGTTCGGTCAGCAAATACTGGATGCTCCCGCACCCCAGCTGGGAGGGGCACATCCAGATGTCCAGGAGTCAGCCCTGGGGAAGATTCAACTAGGTAGTGAATCTTCAAGGCTCCCCATCAAGTGCATCTTGAGTTGTGTTCTACTAGATAAGGTCAAAGTTCTGTGGGAACCCGCAGGGTGTGAGGAACATTCACCAGCTAGAGGACACGATCTTTGAGCTGAGTCGCAAAGATGACCCTGAGCTAATGTGCACAATTTGAGATTTAGAAAAAAGAATATATGCAGGTATGTGGAAGCATGGAGCATGAAATCCTCTATTCCTCCATTAGACTATGAAACTAATCTTAGGAGTAATAGCAGGGGAGAACAGAAGAAGTTGATTGGTGCATGAGTATTACAGGTCATAAATGTGCAAAGATCCATCCACACGAGTCTCTGGCGTCTCCCTGAGTCATGCAACCCCTAAGGAGGGCTAAGGGAATATTCATAATGAGAAAACAGAAATGGCAAAATCTGAAATACATTCTGACTTCTGGTTTTGGAAAGTCCTTGTGCGGGACATTTGGGCGGCTTCAAAGGAAAGCAGTAGAAAGTGGTGGGGGTGGGGAGGAGATGGGAGGAAGGCAGCCAACGGAGAGACCCTGGGCTCAGATGGACCTCTGGGCCTTGGAGGATTCCTTGCCCTGCTGGCAGGAGAAAGGAAGATCTAGAAACCCCAGCCTCTGCAAATGAGTTTATTTGAGGGATCTACGAGAGAGAGAGCTCCCCTGGTCTTGGCCCAGGAGATGGTGGGTGAGCAGTCAGCCTGGGCTGGGGTCCTACTGTCCTATCTGGGGGTAGAGCACCAGGGAGTGTTTTCTGAGAGTCTCCTAAGCTTGACACTGTAAAAAAACACCTATAAATGAAGAGGCGGTGTAGGGCAGTGGTCGGAATCCGATCTCCAGGGCTAGGGTCTGAATCCTGACACTGGCACAACCAAGCTGTGTGACCCTGGGCAACTTACTTGACCTCTCTGAGCCTCAGTTCCTCCACTGCAAAATGGGGAGAGTAGAAATACCTGCCACATGGGGTCACTGTAAGGATTAAACTCTGCCCAGCACTATTATTCAATACATAGGAATTTTTACTAACCTAAAAAATATAAAAGTATTAGTGAAGGGAAAAAGGTCGCCTGCATACATGTTTGGTAGAGGAAGAACAGCTGTATCCTGAGGAGACGGAGGAGGAGACGTTTGGTGTTGCCCAAGCTGAAGCCCAAGCTCAGCCTCATTAAAGAAGACAGTCTCCGCTCTCAAGGCTGCCGGGACAAAACCTAAGCGCTTGAGTCAAGTTAAAGGATAAAACGATTCCCCCCAAATCCAGAAGAGAGTCACATAATTACACAGGTATAATGGTCTGTTCTCCGAAGTCCACGGAGCGAGAACTGCTAATTGCTCAGGGTTAAGAATAAAGGAGCATTATTTTAATTGTCATCGTCATTGTGATGATCCAGGTTGGAGACACTAAGTGAAGAGGCGGAAGAGATGTGACTTCACAACTGGAAAGAAGGTTCTCAAAATCTACAAGAAGGGACAGGGAAGAAAGCCACCCTGCTCAGCAGGATTTGCCAGAGGTCTGCAAACTTTATCTGCAAAGGGCCAATAACACATACTTAAGGGATTTGCAGGCCATTTAGAGTCTCTGATCTCAGCTATTCAACTCCGGGACTGCAGAGCAAAAGCATCCATAGACAATACACAACTGAGAAGTATGGCTCTGTTCCAATAAAACTTTATTTACAAAAGCAATGGCTGTGGATTTGGCCAGGGGGCTATAGTTTGCAAATTCTGATTTAGACTAGACATGAGAGCTGAACGAGAGCGGTAGCCCAGATGACCTGAGGCATCTCTGCAGTTATGAGCAATCTGCCCCAGTGTGCACTGTGGAACATTCTCGGGACAGGGAGAGCAGATCCGGCCAGCCCTAGCTCCCCAGACTGACCATGGCAAGGTCCTTGTGTGGAGTAAGCCGCTTTCCCCATAGAGCAGCTCACTTAAGCCCAGCGCCAACGCATGTTCGGGCCTCAAAGGGGAGCTGGGGTGGAGATGGCTACACGAGCCAGGAGCAGAAACAATGCCAGCGAACATCTGCTTTTCCTACAGGGACCACAGCATCTGGCTGTGCACACAGCTGCCTGAGTCACTGCTCACGCCCAGGAGGTTGCTCCAGAGCCCTGGTCGCCTCTCGCATTGTCTGCTACCCCACTGCCTCGGTAGGGGACAGAAGGGGACCCAAGCCACCAGAGAGAGAATCAGGGCATCCTAAGCCTGCGACGGAGGCCACCCTCCCGGCCCGGCCACGGGCTCGGAGGACCCCAGGCAGATATCCAGCTTCTGTCTCAGCTCTCAGCAACCCCAGAGCCAGGCCGCAGGTGTGGACAAGCTTCAGGGCACCCTGAGGCTCTGGGGTCAGGGTGGGAAGGGGCTCGGTTTTCTCTGTCTCGGGAAGAGAGGTTACAAGGTCGCTCCAAGCTCACACGGCCCCGCTCGCTCGCTCCCTCCCTCCCTCCTGCTTTGATTCTCCTCGTGCAGAGCCAGGAGACTGAGCTGTTTCCCAGTCCACGCTGACGCTGCCCCTCAGGGGGCTTGGACTAAAGAGTTATGGCTGTGGCCCCCGGACTTGGCCAGAGGAGGCCTGCGGGAGGGCAGGCATGTGCATGCCGGAGGGGGAGAACGAACTCTCTGCGCCTTCCTCACGCCGCCAGTGGGAGTCCCCTAGGGTGGGGGTGGGCACCCCAAACAGGACTGGGAGGGACCCAGAAAGGGCTGCAGTCAGGTCAGCAGCCCTTGTCCTTCTCGGCAGAGAAACCCCACAAGGAAGGACGAGGGCAGTGTCAGCTTGCCTCGTCGGAACCCTCCGGGGCCTGGAGTGCGTCCGCAGGAACACCTGCCTCACGTCTGAAGGTCCCTCTGGGGCGGTGTTATTTTGGGGTGACAGTTCTCTCAACTCCAGCACTGGGTTTCTCTCAGAGGTCAACACAAGCCTCTCCGGGCCCCGAGTGGCCCCCCAGTCATGGCCAACACAAGAAGCTGGTGCTGGGGGAAGGCTGCCGATCACAGGGCCCTTGGGGCTTTCGCATCCATGCCGCAGGGACCCGCAAAGGAGCCGGAAATGCCAGCGCCAGAGTCCCAGCAGCCGCCGGGACAAGGGCGGCCTGATGCTCACTAGGACCTGGTCCCAGCCCCCCGACCGTGTCCGCAAAGTGCAGATTTCCAGAGCAAGTCAGCACCACCCAAGACTCAGTGCCTGTGACCCCGGCCTGGTGGGAGCCTCCCGCAGCAGGTGGTGGCCCAGAAGCTGCTGCCCCAGGTGGGTTATGGTAGGTGGCAATGCTTCTGCTGCCCAAGAGCTGAAGGCCCTGATCAGAATCAGATGCTGAATTCCGGAGAGGAAAGTTCCAGCTCAGAGCAGCCACCTCCCCTCCCCACACCCAGCCAGCAGCGCCCGAGACACACCAGAAAAACCATAGCATCACCCACTGGTTAGCGTGGCAGCTACGGGTCTGGCCTGGAGGGGCCACAACCCCTCTCCCCAGTCCTGGGGCTGAAAGTGAGGGGAGCCTGCAACTGGGAGAACAGAACAGATACCTTCACTCTGCTGCAAAGAAGTGCTTCCGGCAGGCAGGCCGCAGAAGGGCCTGGAGACCAAGAACCTGCACTCAGAACTTGGCCCTGCTCCGTTCCAGAGGCGGGCCCTTGGTCGGCTCTTTTAACTGAGCCTCTGGTTCTTAATATGAAAAAGTGACAAATGCCACACCTCCAGACACATGGTGGGGAGGACCACGTTTGTGTGCACCAGGGCGGCTAGCTGCTCGCTGCTCGGGCGTCAGCACAGTGGGGACACCAGGGCTTCAGGCTCAGGCCACCAAGGCTCACCCAGCCTGAGATGAAGCGTCTCTGCCAACTGTCCCCCAGCAGGAGGCCTTCATGCAGTGGGATACTGTGCCAACTGTCCCAGCATTCCCGAACTGCCTACCAGCTGTGAGAGCAGCCCGAGGAGCCCTGCCACCTTCGGGGAGGCATGGACGGAGGGGGCCAGGCTGGGGTCGGGATGCCCTCGACAGGGACCTGAGACCACAGATCTGCCCCTGGATGGCATGCTAGGAGCTGGAGCTGAACCCAGGACTCTGCTGCCCATAGAAACCCTCCCCACTTCTTGACCCCAGGACCCTGCTACCTATAGAGATCCTTCCCATTTCTCGCCTCATACCTCTCAGGAAACCTCCCCGACCAGGTCCTAGACAGGAAAGAACTTGGGTTCAAATTCTGGTTCTGGCACTTTCTGTGTGTGCAACATTCAGACGCTATAAACCTGCCGATTCGTGGTTTCCTCACCCATTAAATATAAACACGGCTGCCCACCTCCCTGAATGCTGACCGAGCATGCCATGCATAGCCTTCACCTGTCAAATAAGACCATCTCAGGAGACAGATTCACAGTCTTTTAAACACCAGGAAACAAAGGGCCAGAGACCTTAAATGACTTGCTCAAGGTCAAAGAGCTAGTTCTGAACCCAGATCTGTGGGGTTCCTTAATTCATTCCGTCCACCCATCCACCCATGAACAAATACACGTGTATGGCCTACTGTGTGCAGACACAGGCCACGAAGCAGTAAACGAGAGACACTCTCCCTGTCCTGGGAAGCTTACTTCTAGTCTGGGAGGCAAATAATACAAAGACTGTTTTGACGGTGGCAAGTGCCATGGAGGGGTCATTGGCCATGGGGCGGACAGTAACTGGGGTAGGGACGGAGGTGTGATGTCTCGTGCGGTCGGTCAAGGAAAGCCTGTCAGTCTGAGAGGTGAGGAGGTGGCAGCCACGGGAGAGCCAGGGTCCAGAAAGCACCAAGTCCCTGAGGCAACACCGACCATGCGGTCCAATCCAGGAACAGGAGGCCAGTGAAGAGCAGGTGCACTGAGTCTGGAGATGCATCTGGGCCAGGCTGTGTAGACCGTATAGGCTGTGGGGCTGGGTTAAGGAACACGGACTTTTCCCCCTAAGTTCAAGGAAAGCCTTTGGCCGGTTTGAAGCAGGAAGTGCAAGGGGATATGATTTACATTTCTAGAAGTTCACTGTGGCCTGAGCTGGTGACCACAGCTAGACATGGCCCCCCCTCACATGGTGCTGGATAGACCTTGGTAGCCTCCAACACATGGCGGCATTTGATGAAGGCTGCTAACTCCCTGCATCTCCCACTCCCATTAGCCTTAGTATCCTGAGTACTGTGGCCCTGGGCAAAGGATGTCACCTGCAGGTAGGCATCCTTTTGTTCTCTCTCTCCCAGTGCCTTGCCCCATGGCCTGCACACAGTAGGTGTGCACACAGAAGGTGCACACAGTAGGTGCTCAGAAAACGCCAGCTACTTGGGGGACTGACTCCTGTGAAAACAACTGGAAGTTCACAGGGGCCCCAGTCAGGAAATCAGGGGTCTCGGATGAACACTTACAATCTTGGGTGGCGGGAGGTCTGGAAGACTCTTCTGAGGGGCCGAAGAGTGCTGGCCAGGCTCCCCGTTGGTCAGTGGGTTCTGCTCCTCGGCTGCTGTGGGCAGCAAACAAGAGAAAGCTTCAGTGAGGGGTGCCCAGCCTCACAGCAGGGCCCATTATCCCGGAATGTCTGGTCACATGGACCATGAGATCTATTTGAGCAGGTGTTAATTACCCAGGCGGGCGGTCCCAGGGAAAACCCAATGTGGTTTTCCCTCTCAGAATAGGGTGCATGTGGTGCCTCAGCCATGGGCAGATTCCTCAGAAGGAACGGGTTTGGGGTTTCTGGCAGGCTCCGCACCCTCTCTTCCACTTGCCCTGTGCCAAAAATGGCCCAGCCGCGGAGCGTTAGCGAGCGGAGAAGCTGCCCTGTGGTCATTATATTGAGCAGCGCCCAGCACCGACCCTGTGATTCCAGCTCCTTCCATCCCAGTTTCCCCAGAAGGCAAACGACCTTGGGCACAGGGGCAGCTTGCATTGGGTCACTTCTGCTGGGTCCCAGGCTTGGCAGTGGAACGGGAGGTGCCGAAGCCCCACTGGACAACTGGGCCACCAGCCCTCCGTGTGTTTTTTTTTTTTTTTTTAAGATTTTATTTATTTATTTGACACACAGAGAGAGACAGCGAGAGAGGGAACACAAGCAGGGGGAGTGGGAGAGGGAGAAGCAGGCTTCCTGCCCAGCAGAGAGCCCGATGTGGGGCTCGATCCCAGGACCCTGGGATTATGACCCGAGCCGAAGGCAGACGCCCAACGACTGAGCCACCCAGGCGCCCCCCTCCGTGTGCTTTTAAGGAAAAGGTTCCAGAGGCTCTTCTGAGCCTGACCGTTTCAGCCAGCGGCCCAGCCAGCCCCAGGACAGACAGACTCAGATGGATCTGGCCTCGGGGCTTTGGTGGCTGGGATCCTGAAGCCAAGCCTTGAACAGGACCGAGTGCCTTGGAGCACTGCATCCCCACCTCTTGCTAAGCCTCTGCATTTTGGCCACAGGCTGGGGAGTTTGGAGATGGGGCTTCTAAATCCCTCTCCTCTGCAACTAGGCAGCTCTGCAAACCTCTGGGCCTCCCTGAGGTCCTGCCAGACCCACTCCTGAAGGTTTTCAGAGAAAAGGAGAGCAGAACAGAGCAGAAGAGGAAGACATCACGGAAGACACAGTATGTCCTTCTGATGTAAGGTACAATGTTCTGCCAAGAAAGCACCGTTGAGCAAAACTTTTGAATATTAAGGCAGGTGCTAACATCAGCATTTCCATCCTCTGTTACCGCCCCTCCCACCGACACACATAAAATCCAGACTTCTATCAAAAGATATAAAGCTGGGGCGTGGAATCAGCACCATACAACAGCTGTTTCCCTAGAACATCTGACTATGATTTCCTACTCCCGGGATGATGCTGGGGAAAACGGAGAGACTTTAGGGCCAGATTCCTTATCCACGAAGGGGACATGAGACCTTTAAGAGGCAAGGAGGTGGCTTGATGAAATATCCCAAAATACATCAACCCAAAATACTATCAACCAAAATGTGAGTGCCAGAAATAACTCCACTGGGCTGTCTGGTGCTGGCTGGGAGGAAGGGCGGGGGGGGATGGGACCAAAGCTGATGCCTGCCCCTCCCAGAAGCTGGCCGAGCCATCAGCAGGGCTCTCCTGTACCTTTGTCTTGGGACTCCGCATTCTGTTGCTTGTTGACAGTCACTTTGTTCATATAAATGTACTCCTCGTCAGAACCTGCAGAGGGAGGTTGAAAGACAAAGGTTTCACGTGATTCCACAATGGGAAATGGTTTCTAGAGAGAAACAGTGTCCCCCGAGACACTGTCATTAGCCAGGGTTCCAGTAAAAGCATACATTTTGACTTGACTGAAAGAGTCCATTATAGAGTTGACAAATTTCCAAACAGAAATGCCAAGTTGCTGACTGTTAGTTTCCTAACTTGGGGGTGGTGGGGGGGGGAGGGCAAGGGAAAAGATAGGTATAGAAGGATAGCTTCAGGATTAAAAGTCTTAACTGGAAAGGCACATGCACCTCGAAGATCTGCCCCATATTCCACCAAGCAGATTTCTCTACGTTTCCTAGCATTTCACTTAAATTGTAAAGTATTTCTGGCGATTTTATTTATTCATCTGAGAGAGAGAGAGAGAATGCAAGCAGAGGGAGAGGCAGAGGCAGAGGGAGAAGCAGACTCCCTGCTGAGCCGGAAGCCCCATGTGGGGCTTGATTCCAGGACCTGGAGATCACGACCTGAGTCGAAGGCAGATGCTTAACCATCTGAGCCACCCAGGTGCCCCTAAATAAAGAAATCTTAAAAAAAAAGAAAAAAGAAAATAAATTGTAAAATATTTCATATCCATCATTCTCACCCTAGTCTGAGTTACTTGCTTGGGCTCATCAGAGTGATGTCTCTGTAAGGTAGGTCACACTGAGGATCTGGAAATTTAGTTCCCATGCCATTGTGGGGGCCTGAGCCCCCCCAAATCGTGAGCTCTGGGTTTGGAGGGGTGAGTATGCTGGGAATTGAAAGTGGAGCCCTGCCTGGCACCTGCTCTATCCTGTAGATTGCACCTTACAGCAGCATAGCCCTTCCCTCTTTTAAAATCTTTTTTTTTTTTTTTAAGATTTTATTTATTCATTTGACAGAGAGAGAGAGAGAGAGCATGCACAAGCAGGATTAGGGGCGGAGGGAGAGGGAGAAGCAGACTCAGCCAAAGGCAGACACTTAACCGACTGAGCCACCCACGCGCCCCTAAAATCATTTCTGTGTAGGCTACCTTTCCAGCACCTGTCTGGGCAGAGAAATGTTAGTCTCCCAACACTGCTCAGTTTCTTAAGCCCCAAAGACCGTTTCTTCAGAAGATTGCAGAGGAAGCTCATCCTAATGCTCCTCCTCTTAGAAATCCTCCTGCATTTCTTTTTTTGCCCCTTAATTTGCACTTCCTAGAAACATGTGGCTCCACTGGTTGGAGACTGTTACCCAGCGAGGGGACCCATTCAAACCCGGGTAAAGGAGGCAGTTCAGTGTCAGGCCTGTGCCACAGACTGCCCAGCCTCCAGCCCAAAGGCCTGCAAAAACAGAGCCCTGAAAACCCACAAGAACACGGGGAGGACACAGCCAGAGGGGTCTTCTGCCCTCAGCCTGCGGGATCACCACCCCAGTGCCCGGCCCTGCCAGGACCCGTCAGCAACATCACCTCATCCTGCAGCAGTTCATGGGAGGGAACTATGAGGTCTAATGTAGTTAGCTACAACTGGTATCCTTCCACTGAGTGAGAGCCAGAGGGGCCGGGTCAGTACCTTCTCCAGAGGAGAGCACACAAGAAGAGTGCCCTGCAGGGGCGGGCAGCAAGCTCTGCCATTCATCGTGTAATTCTGAGCAAAACAGCTACCCCACGTGCCTTGTCTGCCTAGCACGGGAAACAACTGTGATGCACATTGCCTGTTTTTACCAAACTCTTAAGTTTCCAAGGGCACAAAACTCAAATATTAAGGAAGTTGAAAAAGTTAACCCAATAACTAACAAAGATTAAAAATGACAGCCTAAACCATGGGGAATGGCTCAAAGGCTCGATAATGGGAGAAGTTGAAAAAAAAATCACACATCAACATGCATAACAACAGTCACCTTTAAAAATAGATGGATTACTAGAGAGTGTGTAAATTGGCACAGACATTTTGGAAGAGATTTTGGAGGATAATTTAAGTGTTCATATTCTTTTTTTCTTTTTTCCAAGTGTTCATCGTCTTTAACCCAGCATTTCCACTGCCAGAAATTTGTCCTAAAGATAAACTTGGAAGAGATTTTGGAGGATAATTTAAGTGTTCATATTCTTTTTTTTTTTTTTCAAGTGTTCATCGTCTTTAACCCATCATTTCCACTGCCAGAAATTTGTCCTAGGGATAAAGATAAAATTTTGTAAACAAAATTTTGAGGATGTTTATTGTAAGGTTGTGTGAGGTTTTTTTGTTTTTTTGTTTTTTTTTTAAGATTTTATTTATTTGAGAGAGAAGGACAGAGAGCATGAGTGAGGGGATGGGGCAGAGGGAGAGGGAGAAACAGACTCCCCGCGGAGCAGGGAGCCGGACGTGGGGCTCGATCCCAGGACCCGGAGATCATGACCTGAGCTGAAGGCAGATGCCCAATCAGCTGAGCTATCCAGGTGCCCCGTATAAGGTTTTTGTTTTTTTTAATTACAAAACCTAATGCCACTAATCACTGTTTACCCATCCGTGGATACTACCGAACTGTGAAAAATAACAAAGTAGCTCTATGTCCACTTTTTCAGAGAAATCTAAGACTTACAGTTGAATCATGTTTCAGAATAGCAAAAAAAGAAAAAGTAGGGGAACTGTCAGCACATGGAAATGTGCACAGGCAGCAATTCTAAATGTAAAAATAACGTAAAGCAGAATACAGAGGCAAACCACGACTACATGAAAATATTCAGATGATGCCAATAAAGATCAAAATAGGGACTGAAGGAATGTAAATAGCACAATGTTCATCTTATGTTCATTTATTTTTTTCTTACTGTTGACTAAGCCCACGCTCCTGTAAAAAGGAAAAAGAAAAAGACAAGACATTATTGTCGTTGTTTTAACTGTTAGATTCTGGGCAGGTGCTTCCTCCCAAGATGGCAGCTTGTAAACTGCAGAGAAAATGAGCACCACCAGCCACTTCCCAAGGCTGCGATTCCCGCCTTGGGCACTCTGCTGCAGGCCGTGGTTGGTCAGGCTTTGATTCTCAGGGTGCTACTTCAGGACCATCTAGGTTGGTAAGTAAGAGGCTCCCAGAACCGTCTGCAGTCCTGGGAAATGCCCAGTGAACTTGGCCCTATAATGGGAGGCTGCTGAGCTGTCCCGTGCCTGGGAGGCAGGAGCCTTGGGTTGGAGAATTTTCTATCATTCTCTCATTCATTTTCAGAAGTGCACGGAGCACCCGGCACCATGCGAGGTGCTGGGGATACAGCACTGAACGTAATAGAAGACACCGTCTCTACCTTTATCAGCCCAACATTGGTGGGGGAAACAGAGGCCCATGGGATGGTTAACACAAGCATGTGGAGAGTAACAGCACAGGTATGGTTAGAAGGAGAGCTCAGCGTGCTCTGAATAAGCGTGTGGCTCCTGGGGAATGACCCCTGTGTGCAGGGCGTGGTCTGGATGGCAGTAGGGAGGAGGGACAGGGACCTCTTTGCTACAGTCGGATAGACAGAACATCAGCAGCCTTTCCCATCCGAGGGGCACCCCTCCCCCCGGCCGACACTTTCCCAGTCTCTGAGCAGGGCCCTGGGAGACCCATGGCCCTCTCAGGTGAAAACAGGGAACAAATAACAGGCTCCTGAGAAACAAACCTCAAACCCTGCCTTGACCTCACCATCCAGATGAAAGGCAAAGAGAAGAGAAAATCCTCGTTGCGCTCATACAATAAAAGATCAGAAAACCCAAATGGACAATTTGAAAAGGGTAAACACACATACACACACGCTCTCTCTCATACTCTGCCCAAAATGTGTGGGAGTAAACAGCTCAGCCAATGTAGACCACAGACTATCTCAAAATGATCAGCCTGCCTCCACCTACAAGTCCCATCAAGCTGAGCTAATTTTCTGGAACATAGACAGGAAGATGGGCCTGGGAGACTGAGAAGGAAGACAAATGCTTTGATTTCAGGGGGGCTTTGGATTCTGTCCTGGGTAGCGCAATTTCTGCTGGTGCAGGTGAATCTGGAACGCGGGGTGATGAGGGGGGTAGAGCGGTGAGGGCCGCCTGCCCATGCCCGAGCCCTGGCTTTGCCACTCACAGCCGTGTGCCTTGAAGAAGCGACTCTCCAAATTCTCCACGCTCTTGTTGAGAAGATGAGGACAACATCTCTCTTGCTGACTTGGGATGGGAACTAGGTGGCATCATCCGCCTCCTACGTTAGGCCCCGTGCCAGGACAGAGGATGTGCACAAAAGCTGTCAGCTGCTGCTTTAAGCACTGTGCTGGCGAAGGGAGCACGGAGAGGACCAGAATGGACACCAGCCTTGAGAACAGGAGGGGCAGCCACGGGTCGCGGTAAGGCTGTGCACGCACTTCCAGTGGTCTGAGTGGTGCACTGTGGGCAATTCACGTTGGGGCGCCTCCTGCAAGCCGCGGACACCGAGGGTGGGGGGAGGGCCTGACTTTATCAGCACAGAACATGCAAAGATCTGGGGTGAAACAAAGCTCATCCTACAGGAAGCTACCCAGCACATGAACCCAAAGAGGGACCCCACCCAGGGGGCCCGGAGAGAGTGATCAGAACCAAGAACCAGGGGTCGGAGCCCATCCCATGGGTCTTCCAGTTCCCAATGGAGGTGCTGTCTAGCATTAAAAATCCCAAGTCGGAGCACATCCAAACGGTCAGTCGGGGAGTGTGCTTCTTAAAGAGTTGGACTCATAGATCCTGCCTCGGGGTGACTCATCTCTGATTCACCCGCTTGGTCATGTGCATTTCCCACCTAGCCTTCCCACCTCTGATGCGCTGCTGACCAGCCACGGAGCCGGGAGGAGCCTGGGAACCCCAGGGTGGCCGGGAGAACGGCAAAGGCCCCAAATGGGCTCCAGGAAAACGCCTCTCACGGAAGGCTAAGAGAGCCAGCTCATCCCGCAGAAGACAAGGCTGCCAGGCAGACAGCACATGCCTCAGCGTTAGGACTTCTGTCTCACTCAGAGAAAAAAAACTAGTTTCGAAGGGAACAAAGAAACGGAAAAGCGACCCTGAAACGTAGCACAGTGGGTCCAGGTTGGACGTGAGGGAGAATTTCCCGGCGGCAAGGGCTGCAGATGACCGACTTCCCTCCTCGGGATGCATTTCAGCTGCTCCTGCCGCCAGGCAGAGGGATCGGATGCCCTCCTATGGTCTCTCACTGTCCCAAAATATCACTTCCACTTCTCAGACATCCGACATAAAAATAGACTCAACTAAACTGTCAGGACTTCACAAGAAGGCTTTTTTTAAAAAAGAAAATCTGAGTGTACTGGAAATGGAACCATATGCCTGCAAGAAGGCTTGTGCAAGGACGTTCAAAGCAGCCTTATTACTCGTCACAGCCCAAACCCGTGAACACCACGCATGCATGGTGGGAGAAATCAGAACAATGGTTACCTTGGGGTGAGGGTGGGGGTGGGGAGGAATTTGCTGGGAAGGGGCAAGAAAGAACTTTCTGGAATGATAAAAACGTTCTCTGTCTTGTTTTGGGTGGTAGGTACACAGGTGTATACTACTGTCAAAACTCACTGAATTGAATGCTTAAGATCTACGTACCTGAGTGTATATAAAATCTCCCTCAATAAGGATAGGAAAAAGAAAACCCTATGCACTCAAGAGTTCTGTGAACTACAAGCTTTAAAACTATGTTTTCCTTTGGGCCACGGGGCAAGTGATTTCAACTCTCCAGACCTCATCTGTAACAACAGCACCAACCTCAGAGGGGTGACTTGAAGATGAAACAAGTTAATACGCATGCAGGTAGGAAATGCTCAATTAAGCGTTGGCTCTTATTCGAACTGTTTACTAGCCCTTCTCTCCTTTAAACGAGTAAGGAAAAGTGCTTCGAAAACACTTTAAAACCACACTCAGGGCTGCCGTGCTGAGTGTTCAGAGATGTCTGGGGCTCGCATCCAGGTCACATCACTCCTGCACTATCGTGATGGGATGAGCTGCGTTCTCCTCCCCCACCGCCCAAATTCATCTACGAAGTCCTCGCCCTGGATACCTCAGAATGTGACTCTGGTAGGAGAAAGGGTCATTAAAGAGGTAATCAACATTAAAGGAGGCCACCAGGGTGGGCCCCGATCCAACATGACCGGTATTCTTGTACGAAGAGGAGATTTGGACACGCACACAGAGGGAAGATGGTGTGAAGACCCAGACAGAAGGCAGCCATCTATAGCCAGAGAGGGAGGCCCCTGAAGGAAGCCACCCTGCCCAAAGCCTTGATCTCAGATTTCTGGCCTCCAGAACACTGAGAAAACAAATTTCTATTCTTTAAGCCACCCCGTCGGGGGGACTTTGTTGTGGCAGCCCGAGCGTGACTATCTTTCTGTTCCCATGCGGACCTCTCTGAGGCCCCCGGGCCACACTTACTGCTGCTTTTGGTGTAAAGCCGGAGGAGCTCAGCCAGGCTGCTCTTCTTCACCACAGCTGTGCTGCTCAGGTTCTCCTGGTCGAGAATTTTGAGGAAGTCATCCAGCTCTGTCAACAGCTGCTCCAGGGCTAGAGACAGAAAAGAGAAGAACCCTTTATAGTCGCTGCCTTCCCTCCAAAGGGCCAGCTCAGATACACCTCCAGATCCTGCATCACCTCACCATGGGCCCTGTGATCCTGAGGGGGAGGGAGCGGGGGAAGGCCTGGAAGCACCTGGGGGCCCAGCCAAAAGGTGGGATTCCCGGGGAGAGGAAAACAGGCCCTTGGTTTTGAGATGGATAACCTTGGCTGAACCTGCAGGTCTACCATTTGCTAGAGTGACAGTGGCCAGACAGCCCAGTCGAGCCCATCAAGCCATGAGAGTCTGGAGACAGGATTGCTTCCTTGACCAAAAGTCAATCAGGACAGCTCAGGGTCTGGAGAACCTGAACACAGATCAAACCTATAACCATCAAAAGAAATACTGTGGTTGACCCAATCGTTCATCCTTTCCCCAAGGACAAGGAAACAGAGTCACTCCAAGGTGATTCAACAGTGATTATGTTGCCCCTGCAGAAATATGGACGACCCATCAGAAGCCACGGCTGGGCAAACAGAAAAATAAAACCTTCCTGAGTTTCTTCAGTAAATAAGCCACCTCAACTGAAACCGAGTCCAGCATCACTCCCAAGCTGGCTAAGGGCTCTGGTCCCATGGATTCAAGGTATCAAATTGGCTCCACCATTGTAGAAGTGCTTGTCAGTTTCTCACTGGAACCACCTTGCAGAGATGCTAGTGCAGAGGACAGCAGGGTAGGTGCAGGGCATTCACCACTGCTGTTGTTGCTGTTTGGG